CCTCAGTCGGAGACGTCTCCGGATAGATACTGTGCTCTCGACTAGTTGGCAAGATCTCCACACTTCACCCACGCACATTTGCGCAAGTCTTCTAGAGAGCGGTCAAAGATAAAATATTTTAAAAAAAATCAATAGCATGTCGTGTTATTTGGCTGAGTTTAAGGTATAATTTAGTCACTTTTAAGGACAAACGTGCTAACCCAGATTTCGGGGTTTTCAGAAATCTTGACCTACACCAAAGGTGGGCATTTCCCTAGCTATAGGAGAAGTTTGGTTTCATCGGTATGTATATTTGTTTAGTTACACAGAAAATTTTTCTTGACTCTAAAAGAAACTGAGCAAGGGTCCAAAACTTTATCTTCGATTGTCTCAAAACAGCATTATTCGGGATAACCCTCTTTGTGTTTAAAACGACCCTTTGAAGACTCCTGGGAAAAAAACAAACCCCCACATCAGATACGTCATATTTTCAGAAAGTGATACATTCATCAAAGTTTAAAAGTCTTCATCACTTCATAGTAGGTATAGGATTACATTTTATTTTACTGTACGAGTACATTTATTATAGCACAGGCCAAAGCTGGGTTCTCCGTGGTAGGTATCGTTTTTGGAGAAGGCAGCTCGAGTTTTAAAGAATGCAACAAAAGGAGAAAAAAAAAAAAACAACCAACAACGTTATTTATTGCAACACAATTGTGACTTCTCTGGGTTTTTCCGCTGGAGTCTTCATTTACATGAACAATTCACCACAAAAAAGGGGGAGGGGGTAAAGGAGATATCATACATGACAGGACGCTACGGACAAAAATCCAACACGTTTTTCTTTTCCCCCGCGCTGGCTCAAACGTAGGGCGTTACGATATTATTTTTATTTTTTTGGTTGCTTTTATTCCATTACCACTGAGACTTGCGTGGTAGATTATGCCGCAACTCCCTGTTTCTTAACCCTCTACCGACCACAACACGAAATACTGACACGTACATGGAAGCTGCTTACACCTTATCAAATACTGACACGTACATGGAAGCTGCTTACACCCTATTAAATACTGACAAGTACATGGAAGCTGCTTACACCTTATCAAATCCTGACAAGTAAATGGAAGCTGCTTACACCTTACTAAATACTGACAAGTAAATGGAAGCTGCTTACACCTTATCAAATACTGACAAGTACATGGAAGCTGCTTACACCTTATCAAATACTGACAAGTAAATGGAAGCTGCTTACACCTTATTAAATACTGACAAGTAAATGGAAGCTGCTTACACCTTATCAAATACTGACAAGTACATGGAAGCTGCTTACACCTTATCAAATACTGACAAGTAAATGGAAGCTGCTTACACCTTATTAAATACTGACAAGTACATGGAAGCTGCTTACACTGCAGTATGCTTTCCAAGGAGTTGAGAATGTTTCAGAATGTTATCACGTCTGCTGGGATGTAGATTGTAAATATACAATTAATGCTACTCATCTATTTATTTGTTTGTTACATTATAAATGTGACAGAAATGAAATATCTGTACGCTTCCCAGAGAGAAGGGAATGTTTCAGAATGGTATCAGGTCTGCTGGGATGTAGGTTGTAAGGTGCATACAGCTTGCTGTTGAGCGGGAGCGTGGGCTGTACAAATGCTATTGATCCATTTGTTTGTTTGTTTATTATAAATGTGATATAACTGAAATATCCGTAGGCTTACTGACAAAGTTAAGAAAGTTTCAAAATTTTGTCAGGTCTGTGAGGTAATAGGATAGACTACAAAACGCACAGAGCTCGATCTTGACCTGGAATTCGTGCTATACAATAAATTCTATTTATTTATTCATTCATTCATATATATATATTTACTATAAATGTGACATAAATGAGATATTTAATTCCCATTAAAGCGGAGCAAAAACAAAACAAAAACAACGACAATAACAGCAACAACAGCAATAACAACAATAACAACAGCAACAACAGCAATAATAACAACAACAATGACAACAAAAACAGCAACAACAACAACAACAACACAAACAACAATAACAACATCGAGAGTTTGGTACGAATCTACTAATAGTCCAGGCATCCACATCCCCGCCCCAAGGATCAACTACAAACCCAGGGAGATAAGAGGGTTAAACATTTCTTTGACGGCATTGGGTAAGACTTTTCTTCCAAAGTTCGCCCACGCAACATGAATACATGACGACGAACTGACGCGAGAATTTTTCACCGTCGTACCTAAACGCCCATGAATATTTCATAGAAATTCAAATAACCTGGATGCTTATCGAAAGAAATTATATGGAGAGCGATCCGAAAAGTGAAGTAGAAGTGCCTGCCGAATAAATACTTTTATGTGGATCTGAATAAAACTTACGCGTTAAGTAGTAGCGTCTTTGAACTACCTCTCAGCATAGCCACCACTCCTTTTCTTTTCCCTTTTTTTTCTCACCGTCCAACATAGTAAAGTGCATACGTTCTGGTAATCTGAAACATTGACATCTTCTGTATTTTGATAATAATCGAAGTTCTTCTCATGCGTCCTTTTGTTGTTGTTGTTGTTGTTGTTGTTGTTGTTGTTGTTGTTGTTGTTGTTCTTCTTCTTCTTCTTCTTCTTCTTCTTCTTCTTCTTCTTCTTGTTCTTGTTCTTGTTCTTGTTCTTCTTGTTCTTCTTTTTCTTTTTCTTCTTCTGCCTCGTCAGCAGCAGCAGCAGCAGCAGCAGTAATGTCAGTAGTAGTAGTAGCAGTAGTAGTAGTAGCAGTAGTAGTAGTAGTAGTAGTAGTAGTTGTAGTAGTAACAGCAGCAGTAGTAACAATAGTAGTAGTAGCAGCACCAGCGGCAGTAATAGTAGTTGCAGCAGCAGCAGCAGCAGTAGCAGCAGCAGCAGTAGTAGTAGTAGTAGTAGCAGTAGTAGTAGTAGTAGTAGTAGTAGTAGTAGTAGTAGTAGTAGTAGTAGTAGTAGT